TCTCTGGTTCTCAAAGGTACCTGTGGTACAGACAGAAGGAAAGCAAAAAACCAGCCAGTATATTTTTATTAGTTACAGTGTCAAGGAATAAGCCAGTTATTAATGGTATTTTTTTCTGGTCATTGAATTAAATCCTATTTTAATCTAAGGGTGGAAAAGGAAAATTAATACTGTTTGTTCTGAAATATGGCACTGTTCTCTACATAGCTGAGTACAGGCTGGAAATTTTGTCTTTCTGAAAAATAGTTTGCTTACTACATATTATCAATATGAATTCAATTTGCAGAGTAACTGTAGTCCCAGAACAGTACAATCTCAAAAATAATAGCTTTCTGCTTTCCCCTTGCCAATCTCCACCCTGGCTCGTGCTGGTGCATCACAATGTGTGGTGCAAAGCTGCCTCCTTACTGTACCGGCACGGAACACTTCACCTATAAATCATGAAGGAACAGTCTGTACTGTCTTATCTTCTCCCTGACCTGGGTACTGCTCTGACCACAAGAGACTATAATTTACTGTCACACAAGTGCAAAAGAGGTCATGTGATACCTCCAGGCTTAACAAACTCAAACATGTTCAAGTGGGTCCATCTCATAGACTGACCTTCCATGTTACTTGCCAGTTCCTATGGGTGAGGGTGATTATGGGAGAGGGTCAGACACCAAGTGAGCTCCTGCAGCATGAGATCCCATGCCTTAAGTGATTATGGAAGAGGTCAGACACCAAGGGTGCTCCTCCAGCATCAGATCGCATGCCCTAAAGTCAGAGAATGACAGGCTTTCTGCCTCTTTGCTTTAATAACTCCCGTGAGAGTGGAGTGAGATATGTGACCAGCATCCTGGAAACCTCCCAGACTTGCAAGGTATGGTACAGAACTTTGGATTCCTGGAATGGGTTAGAGAAGGGGCATCTCTTGACGTGTGGTTCTTCACCCACAGAGAAACCTTAATGCCACAAAGCTGAGGCAGGCTGTCATCCCAATCTGCTCATGGATCATTCATCCTTTCCTCTTCTTCTCCTGCAATTTCCTTCAAAGACCTGTTGTGATGAGCTCAGGCCAGCTAAACCTTTCCTAAAATGGCTGCTTTTTCTTCTAGTTCCCAGTTCCCCTCTGTGATTTCTGGGCCTTATTTACCCTTCTGTCTTCCTTTGCATTGCACCCTGTACTTATCTGTCATTTGTACTGGTCTTTTTTTTTTTAATTCTTTCCTCCAAAAACTGCAGCTTTTATATCTTCTTCAGAAATTACTATTTTACACTCTTTTCCATCCAAGTTTTTTCTCTTCCAGGTATATTTTATTCAGAAAGTCTTCTGTGGAGTACCTCAAATACATCTTTGCCCTTGTCTGTCTACTACTTTTGACATGTTGAATACGCTTACTTTAGTGTCCACATTCTGCTGTTATTTACACAGATGTAACATGGAAGGACTCCATTGTTTCTTATCCATATGTATGCACCTGAAAGACTGGTAGCTTTAAGCAGAAAAGTTCCTTGTCATTCTGTATTAAAACTAAAAGTGTATGTGCATCTGTATCTACCATGGGTTTTGTCAGGAGATGAGAGATTGATTACAAGGCAAACAATTTTCTCCTGCAATGTAACATTACTATTATATGACACATGATGACTAAGCATCAGTTTCCCAGTCTTGATGGTCTGCTCAAGTTTGACATGAACCCATAGGTTTAAAACCTAATTCAGTCATGTTTGGTGTTATAGGTTAAACCAACAACCACTGGACAATTAAGAGAGTGGGCAAATTCAGCCCTGGTGTTACACCTGGTTTATGCCAAGACTGAATTGATTCCTGTATCAATAAAAATGCAGCTTCACAGGTGTGCTTTTAATGAAATACTGTATTAAATTTATTCCTTGTTTAGTTTCCTCAACAGTATAAAAAAAGTAATTGTTTTTCAAAGCTAAATCACTTGGCTAGCACACGCATTGTCAGGCTGAATGCTAATTATTCAGTTTAATTAAGTCCAAGTAAAAAAAGTAAAGGGTTGTAAACTATAAATTGAACCCCGATATAGACACTCTTAGTAAAGCTTTCACCTTGACTCCTTTGTGCTCCTGACTTTAACAAAAACTGAGATGACTTCAGCACTGGACTATCATTGTTTTGGCCAGCAGGGTTTGGCACAGATAGCTGTCCCCTGTGGTGAGCAGTTAGAATCCTGCATGGAGCAGTCTGTAGCGAGCACTTCCACATACCCTGTATGCCACAGGTGATTTCTCAGTCTCAGTGTGTTGTCCCAGCATACATTTTTCCTTTTGAGAGCACTTTCAGAACTGCACTGCTGAGAGATCTAAAACCTTTTCTTAATTTGCAGCCCTAGTCAGTCAGGCTTGTTTTATATCCTTATGTTCTTGGGCTAGCATAGCCTTGTAGGTCCATTAGACGCGTAATTGTTGAGGTTTATTCTCTTGTATCCCTGCCCAGCCTTCCTTTTGCTAGTATGTATGCCAAGTTCTTCTAGTGTCTTCTTCTAATGGTCCTACAAGCTTTTCACTGCACCTCTTCCAGTTCAAGCTTACCTTTGCTGTGGAGTCTTTTACTGCTACAAGAGAGACAAAGTGAAAAGTAGTACTACTACCAGTTGCTATACGTGTGTGTAGCTTTATGCAAGCAAGTGGTGTCCAGTTCTATAGTCATTGTCCTTGTCTCATTTGGAAAACTAAGAATGGTTTGTCAACGGGCTTTAGCCACCTGAGCTCTACTTCCACTGGTTATTTCTAGGTATTAGCTCTACAGTTGCTTAGATTCAGAACAAAGGTGCTGTGCAGAGGATCAGGATGTCTGCAGATGGGCTAAGCACTCATTCTTGCTCAGTTTATCCAGAACATTTGATCATGCTAGGTTTCTAGGTGTTGCCGGGATTCTCCCTCAAATATGGGCTAGAGCTTAACTCATAAGAATGTTTAAAGGGAAAAATACCTGCTAGATGAATCTGGATCTGAGCAGCACAAGTGCCGTAGTTGGGCACCCTCTATTCAACTGTTCTCCAAGGTCTCTCCTACAATTTCAGTCCCTGTGTACCTGTACTGGAGGGCTTTTCTCTGCTTCCCTGCAGGTCCAAACAAGGGTGATGCTGCAGCCTTGTGCCTGGGACAGGAGAAGCTCAGTCGTTCCAGTGCTGGTGCTGGGATCTAAGGATGGGCAATGAATGGGGTGGCAATCACAGGGTAGATTTTTAGAAGACTCCAATTGGAGAGTTTCAACAAGCACCAAGGTCATAGATGAGAACCATGAAACGTTCAGCCTCCTGAGTCACGGAAGTCTCGTTGTCCATTTCTAATGGCTTTTAAAGCGTTAGGGTTGAAAAACAACTTGACATAGTGATGAGTTCCTACAGATGCTTCATATCTCTGAGGACTGCAGTCACAGTAAGGCAGAAGGAAACAAGCAAAAATATAATGGTGACTGTTAGGAAGAATGTGTTGGACTCTCTTTTCAGAAGCGCTGTAAAATCTATTACAGATAGGATAAGCATTAATTCACAGCGTTTGTTCATACTATACTGCTGTTAGCTGATCTGCTTTCCTTTGCTGATATATGTACTACAGCTACAGATTTATTTATAGAGAGACATGTTTTTGTATTTTGGAATAGATCAGCTCGCCAGGACTGAGATCTCACGACCTGATTGATTTAAATGCTGTACAGGACCGTGTATTCACTGTCTGGCAAAACACATGACATAAATTTGACTCTGGAGCCAAATAAATTGGGAAATTGTACTAAATTTTACTAAAGAGGGAAGATAGATCATGAAAGAAGGCACTGCAACAAATAATGCATAGTCAGAATGTAAAAATGTAAAATAAATGAAATCCTTATGAAAACAGGACACTTGTTACTAACAGTAGAGCCTAAGTGAGGTCTGAAAATTACTACATGTATGATCTCATGGGGATACATACTTCTGCTCCCTTGGCAGAAATATTAGATGTACTTAATCATATGTAGTGATATTAATTTTAAAAGTGGTGATATAGAGAGAGTAAGAACATTTATTTATTTTCTTGCAATAAATGGTAGAGTTCCCTGAACTTCAATGAGACAAGAACTCTACGAAGTATCATAACAATAGCTAATCTGTAAAAGAATAAAAACTCCAGGTGATAATTTGATTTAGTTTTGTGTCACTCCAGGCTTATTCCAGCAATATTACTTTATTTTTCCTGCTTTAAGATGAAGTAGTGCATTGTTGAAGAAAAAACAAACCAGAATGGGTCTGCATAGCTCATTGTTACAGAGGAATCCAAAAAACAACATAGGCAGATATTTTTCAAGACCTTTTATTCTTAAAAAAATAGAGGGAGAATAATGCAAAAGTGCTTTTCTTTTTTTTTTAATTTAAAATAATTTTCTTCAGCTTTTTGGGCTCCTTAACAGGTTGGATGTTCAAAGATTTAGATCCCTTTCTGGGACTGTTGTTCAGACACAATTCACTGACACTAAATGTGACCTAACAGCTCATCTTCTTTGAATTAAGTGGCTCAGTCAGATGTGAGATTTAAGAAGGTACAAGCTGGAAATAAAGAAACACTGTGAGCTGGCCCAAATGAAGCTTTTTCTTCTCTTGGCATGTTGATTGTAAAAGAAAGTTAAGATATTGAATCTAGTAAATCTGGTTTAAAAAGCCTGTCATTCAGTCTGCTTTTTGTTTCCTTGGTTTCCTCAGTGTTAATACAGCACCAGAAATATTTTACAGCTTCTCTCTTTGGTGCATTCTTGTTGTGTGTATTGAGTAATGCCTTGCATCTGCTATAAGTAAACAAATGACCATACTCTTTAGTGCCCAGGCTAAAAGGTACTAAGGAAAACATAAAAACAGGTTTTTATTTCGTGAACATGAGAAACAGAGAGTAGGATCTCAATTGTTCCAGAGGGAGCGCTTCCATCACAGAAGGGGAGATAGTCCCTTTAGTCTGTGGATGTGCTGGGACAGACTTGCATTTTATAACCACAAATGACTACTCTTTCTCTGCAGGTGCAGTGGTGCTCCCTTGTAGCTACTTGCAGCACTGGTCTCTCTGGGAACAGAAATCTAGAGGGTACCCAGAAAGAATGGTGAGTTGCTTGAAAAAGAGTGAGAAAGCTTAGGAAGGTGCTCTCTCAATGTCCCTCAGTACTGTCAAAGAGCAGGATTGCAGTAACATCATGGTATAGCCTGGTTACAAGTTTAGTGTCTCCAACCAAGTGTGGCTATAATGTGAGACACCTGAACTCTTCAGGAATGGAGACTTGTGCACTGGTTGGTCTGCCTGGTCAAATAAAAACAGGTTGTGTCAAAGGACAGAGATTGTAAAGAGAGGACCAGGAGTGTGAAGCCATGGAACTGGATAAATATAGGGAGACAGACTCTACTGCTTTGTCATACTGGCCTGTCTCTGTGCTCTGGGGCATCTCACCTCTTATCAGCTTAGATTTGATCTGCAGGGAGTTTCATCTACAGTGAAACTCTAGATACATTTTGAGGATGGTATTTGGATTTTTACATTTAGTGCTGAGACAGATTGGCTGGGAAAGGAACGAAGCTGCTGAGCTTGTTAGATACCCACAGGGGAGAAAGTGCTCTATGAGATAGCTTCAGACTTGTAAGTTGTTTTGGCAACCATTATTAGACATGGCCCATAATTACTTCTGTAGTTATAGAAGAGTGTAATTTGCTTTTAATTACTGTATTAGCAAATATATCAGTAGGGAAACCAACAGAAAAAAAAAAAAGGCCGTTTTTTTTCAGTCCTGTTCTTTTTGACTGCAGGAAGTCAAAAATATTTGGACCAAAAAAAATGCTCTAATGAGCCCCAGACAGGCACATTCTGACACTGAGGGGGGAAATAGCTATTCTAGATAGCAGAGAGCTAGATTCTGGCATAGCCCTACAAAGTGGAAATAATAGCTTCTTTCCATTGTAATTTTAAAATTGTAGCGTGATGCTGTTATTCTGATGCTTTGTGATAGATGCCAAGGTTGGAGGCTGCTCTGCTTCAAGTGTGAGTCAGATAATAAAGCAATTTCTGAGCTGTAGCAGCAAAGCACCTTTCCTTTTGTTTCCTCTGAAAGATACTGTAAGGCTGCATTATCAAGATTCACCTTCACAGACCAATATTTTATTTTTAACTCATCCTTTAAAAGAATTTGTGAGTACTGAAGGGGACATCTTATCTCCCATTGTGGGCACGTCTCCTGAAGAATTCGAACAGGAAAATGCTGCATGCATTTTCTTACCTTGAATCTCAAACAAAGGAAAGAAATTCGGTGGATTTCCTAGTCTCTTAATCTTCTCACTGAGAAAGTGCTCTAAACACTAATGAACATTAAATTGCTATTGCTCTGTTGGTGTATAGCGCTTCAGTCAGCAGCCCTTCCAGAGTCAATAACAGCAGGCAATCTACTGCAGTTCCTCCGGTGTTTATTTTTAAAGATAATACTTATGCTTTAAAAATGAAACATTTCATTTTGCAGGTGGCAGAGCTGAAAAAGTTCAGGATGCTTTTACAGCATGTGAAAGGGACAAACCATCTGGATTTCATTTTCACCTCCCTCCTGCCTAGTCAGCTCCTGAACTATGGAGGGACCAGGACACTTGTCAGGCCAGGGGTGGCTTTCCCTGCTGGCTTCCCCCATTAGCAAAGCACAGGCACCTGTGCAAATGCAGCTTCCCGTAGGAATCATCAAAAGAGGAAATGAATCCACCAAAAGGAGGGCAGGTGGTAAATGATGATAAAATCCCCAATACTTTGTTTTTAAGGTGAAAACCTTCACTCAGCCTTCTGTACTGCAGTAGAAAAAATGGTGTGGTTTAGTATGCATCTCCAGCTGTAACATCCAGGTAAATAAAAGCATTATGTCAGCTAAGGAGGCTTTTGGAGCAGATTTGTTGTGGGGTTGACTTAAGTTTGTACACAGTTCCTGTTCTCTGGCATTTCCTAAAATATTTGGTTTTACAGCCACAGGAGTGGCTCCTCAACATCATTTTATGTGAGTTATTTATAGACCACCTTGTCTATCAGTAGTAACTTTGCCTAACACACAGTTCCAGCTGAAGTCTCATCTCTGTCCATCAGGGATTTGGGATTCTTTCCCTATCTGACAGCCAAAATGGTTTGTCTGATTTTAAGATGGAGTTTGGGCAAAGATGTGTCATTTTGTAATGTTAAAATAAAAATTACGATAAGAAACTCTAGCGTTGCACTGAGTTTTAATTGGAAACCCCTGAGAGCAGTGTGGGAGGAGGCAACTGGGAGGCAGTGGCAGGGGTGCAATGCCACAGCCAGGGTGGAAGATGTGAAGAGTTTGGTGGGGAGGAAATCAAGGCAGGTACTAGTCTATCTCAGGAAGCTGTGCCTCTACTTTTTTTCAAAGAAGACATGTCTGTCTTTCTATGTTGCTTACATACTTACTCAAATTCTACAGGTAAAAAGAAGCAGTGTCTGAGGAAAAATAAAGCTATAGAGGCCAAGGACCTGTGTATACTGGGGAGGCTCAGAAAGCAGCGGCCTTAGTCTCAATGCTTTAATTCCCCTCCTATAAGATGAATGCTATCAGTTTTACTCATAGAGGTACCATAAAGACGCATGTATTTAAATTCTGTGGAGGACTAGGAACAAATTACATCATTTTGTATTCAGTACAGGGTAGTTTAAATAAGGCCTGCAGGCCACTTGCTGAATGCTGTGGATAAAAAGAAGTCTTCACTGAACAAGGTAGATACCCTGATGAAGAAATAATACATGAGCTTGTAATTAAAAACCATGTTTATACATAGAATGCTCCGAATTAGGAATTCTTGTGCATCAATAATCCTGGCATGTCCTAACTTTAAAGTGCTTGATTTTGCACCTGTTTCTTTTGAAGTGACTTTTCTGTATATTGAATTATAAGGAAGACACATGGAAGCATATGAAGAGAACAGAAAAAGACAAATATATTCTCTCCCATGCATCAGTTATGAGGTTAGCACAGGTTTTCACTTTTTCTTAAGCCTTTGAGCAACATATGAAGCAGGACAGAAAAGTCTTTGGGCAGGACAACCAGTTCTTTACTGCTTCTTGAAAATGTTCACAGATTTTCCCTCAATTTCTTTCCCATCACTTTGATATTTCATCTACTTTTGCTTCTTCTCTCTGAGACTTTGATTTAAGTCTTTCAATAGACAGACACTACTGAGCATCTTCTCCCTCACCTTGCAGAGATAAGGATGTTGCAATCTCTGTGCTCCTGCTAACAGAGAGTTGGAAAGGTAACATCAGGGAATGAATCCATTAAAAATACCCCCAAAGAAAAAACTGGGAAAGTAAGCACAAATACATAGGGAGAAACACCTTAATTAGAGTTTGTATTTCAGTTCTACTCTGTGTCCAAGCTGAGAAAGATTTCTTTCATGATGCCTGTTTCTTCCAGATAACCTTGCAGGAAATTAGACATTGCAGCAGGGCCAAGCCAACATCATACAGACCGTGAACTGACAGTTGGCCTAAACATGGAAAAGATTTTGCCCTCGGGGTTGAAATGGGTAACAGGTCTCCCCTGCTAGTGCCTCTGCAGGTGAGATAGCAGGTTGTGTTTGTGTATGTTTAGATGACTCAGACTATTTGTGGAAGTATCTCCAGTCCTTCCAAGGAAAACCTGAAGGAGGCTGCAAGAACGGCAACAAGCCTTTGAAAGGCTGTGCGTAGGGCTTTTTAGCAGTGTAGGAAAATTGGACCAGGGCAGTAAAATCAAATTTTATAGCAAGTGCAATTTAATTTGAAGAGAAAGGGAACTTCGAAGTGTGTCTGTGTGTGCTCTTTTATTTCACACACTGAAGTTTTGCTAAAACCTATGAGCAAATTATCTATCAGACTTGAAGTTTGGCTTTTAAATTCATTTTTAGGCCTCTCTTTAAGTACTGTGATACTAAAAAAAAAAAGGCAACAAAAAGGTGCTCCCATTAAAGGCCAGTACCTGTGAAAATTATGTTTCTCCTGATTATGTCTATCCAGCCCCTTTCACAGTGGGACCTGGATTCTTGATCAAAACGAAAGGCTCTTGCTGTATATACAGATGCTAATGAAGTATTAAAGAACAGCAGACAAGGACTGGAGATGAAACCCTTGTCTCATTTATTGCTGGCAAAACAGAAATCATACTGTGCCTCCATATCAGAAAATTTCAAGTATCTTTTGGGGCTTCGTCTCTGCAGCTGGGCACACTGGTGGAAAACTAAACAACACACTGGCACAAAAGGGCTCAGAATCATATTCATAAAAAAATCTGTCATCACAGATACTGATGTCCAAAGATATGCATGTGGCAGAGAAATGAAAAATAATTTCCCCAGGACAGTGTTGTGAGGAGGGGGCATTGGAAGTAATGCTAGGTCCTGGGAATGTAGGCCTGGACACACCCATTACTAACAAATTGCTGTTTTGGTGATGTTTTGTATAAATGGCAGCTTCTTTCCTCTGTGGTCCCAAGCTCAAGTCAAGTAACTACTGTCTTGTGGATAGTTACACCACTTAGTAAAATGTTACATAAAGAATGAGAGGAAAAATGGCAACCCAGTGAATATTGAGAAACGTACCTTAGTATTCTAAGGTGTTCAACAGCTGCAAGAGAAAATGTTTGACACTTCTGTCTCTGCAGCCAGTTTCAAGGTAGGGGAGGGTTATTAAGCATGAACGATGTCAGCTAAAACCTCCCACCTCTCTCTCAAGCCTCCTAGTATATCTGACCCTGTAGTAAAGGTCATTTCTCATCTTCTCAGGTAGATAAATCTATAAAGACTTTCGGGTATATCATAATAAGGTCTTTGCTGCTCTGTAATAGGAAATTTGAATCCAAATAATACTGGCTTCCTGCTATGCTTTCCTGGTAATGCTTTATCAAATAGCAGGATTTTATACTGTTCCTGAGGGCAATTTTTTGGACTGAATCATTCCTTATGGGGTGCTACAAGCAACACACAGTTTTTCAAGCTTATTTTCAACTGTGAATGAACATAAACTGAATTCAGGTCTGTGAATGCCTTCTCACCTAGTATAGGTATACTATATATGCAAAATAAACAGCTTTTTGTTCTTTAAAAAAATGAGATTAATACTTAGCTTCAAAGCATCACCGGTAACTGATATACCCAGATGGACCCACTTGCTCTGTTGGATGATTTAGTCATTAATTGTATAAATCCATTTTATTTGCCCCTTTTATTTGCATGGTGAACAGAACTCCTTTATGATGGGATACTCATTCCTCTTGTGATTTTGACTGAATTGTTAAAAATCAAGTCTCTTGGTACAATAGTGTTCCAACGTTGCTTTGTATACAGGTCTTTCACTCTTAGTTTGAGCTGTGCTAGCCATGACTGTTGTTGCATTCCTAATCATCACAGTGACTTTCCCTGCTTAAGAATATGAAAAGATCAAGATTTGTTAGCATATATTTCTGAGCAGCTTGAATATCTCAGGCCCTGACCTAAGACATCACTTAGAAGACATAAAGCTATGCTTTATCTTTAGTTGCAATGCTAACATGAAAAAACCTAGTCTTTCTGTCTGACTTCCATGATTTAATTTGATTGAGAAAACTCTGTGCTGTCCAGACTTATAATGACCATTTAATTACACACAATAGCATAAAAGACAGCTTCAAAAAATTGCTGGTTACTGTAGTTTCTTCACTAATCACTTGGAAAAGTGATAACACATGTTTAAGTATTGTCCTCATTGCCAATTTATAGCATCATTAGGCCTTGCTAGGAAATTCTTATGCTAATTTTGGTTCTTATGCTCTTTGAGTTTAGATATGGCTGCTTTTTTCAAATTCATCTCTACTTTTGTGCACCTTAACTTCTGTTGTTTGATTTCAAATGCTTTTGAGTAAGAAAGGATCAGAGCATCTAAAATGCAGACAACGGTAGTGTCTTTGTAAATTAGCTTTCTAAAACAGGACATGATAATTTTTTTCGTGAGTATAATTTTGCCACCAAATATGCAATTGTAATTAACTTAAAACAGTTGATATCCTTGACTCCAATTAACCAGCTGGTTTTGGCAGAGCAAACTGTGGTTCATACATTTGCCTGGGCCATGGGGGAACCCTCTTCCATCTAAGGAAATGTGAACTTCAAACTCCAGGACCAGTGGTTTGACCTGTCAGATAATGATGGCAGAGGGAGGAGAAGAAGGGAGTGGAGCAGAAATGGTCAGGGTGGGCTGTTGAGCACCAACATTGTACAGTGCAGTGCCATCCCGCCTATAATGCTCTTTGGTCTGGAAAACCCTGAAAATGTAGACAGCACCTCCCAAAACACAGGACAGAAAAACAATCTTTTATCTTGGTTTTCTTGCATTAGCTTCTAATAACACTTTCCTTATATATATGGTGCATTGTGGCAACTGCGTATATAAAACCCATTAAGTGGCTGACGTGTATTTTTAGAATCACTAAAAATGTTTCCTTCAAAAAGGGCAAAATCTTGTTTAATTTTTTAAGGTTTTATTTTGCACGCTAAATGTGAAATCGAAGATAAATAGGAAATGAGAATCATTTTGCATACAAGAAAATTGCAGACAATTCCATTTGCCTTTTTGCTGTACGCTATTCATATCCAATTTGCATTATGTGCTATATTAATTCACTAATAGTTTATAGTGTTAGACCACCATTTTAACAACAAGTACAAAAGAGCAGAAGAAGAAAGGCTACACTTTTAAACTAACTTCTCTTGCTTGATTTTTGTATCTAATTCTCGTTCTTATTCTCACATAAATGCTTGCTGTTGGCTTTTTTGTTCCATGAAATGCCTTTTAAAATTCATAAGCTCATTAAAAAAATTAATAGGTAGTGATAGTTGTCTTTCATTCTGTCTTCAATAAACCACTGCAAAGTGAATGTACTATTTGAATTGCAAACCCAGCTCTTGCCTGCATCCATGACAAACTCACAGTGGTAGACACAAAATGATCATAATTTTTCATCAAAGTACTTTAACCTCAGACCTGTCAGCTGGTCTGCCAGATAACAAGGTAGGATAATTTCTTTGATTAATTGCACAAAGTTTATCAAACCAAATGAAGATGAAAGGCCTTGGAGAACAGTATAGTGTTAAATGTTATTAAAATAAAACAAAATACTCTCTTATAAACTTTTTATATGCATTCAATACTGTCTGAAATATTTGGCTCCTTGACAACACAGTCTGAAACATCTGGACCAAAGTTACAAGTTCCCCTCATTCACACAAAGATTCAAAATAATAGATTTTTAATCAGTAATCTGTTACTGCCTGCAAACAGATTTTAAAACAATCTTTGTCCTAAATCTGTGTATGAGAGAAGGTGTTTATGAATATGACAAGAATACAGGAAAACCCAGGGATCTGTCCTGGTCATTGCTTAATGTCTGTAGGACTTTGCACATTTGAGGTGGTAAACATCTTGCTCTGTTTTTTTCCTAAGAGTTAGACGAATAAATAAGAGAACATAATTTTTAAAAATGATGGGCCTAAAATTACAAGAAGTTGTTAAGAGCCTCAAAATGTTTCTTTTAGACCTTCACAATCAGGACATGTTATTTAATATCAATTTGTATCCTTTACATAGCCTCTGTGGTGGAAAATGTGTCTGTGCAGTCCTTATCCTCTTGGCTGGAGGGTGGGCAAGAAATGGGCAAGGAAGCTAATTAGGGAGGGAATCACTGGAAACAAATTCTCTTTTCTACTCCACACAAACCTT